GGTTAGGGTTCTCAAAGAAAAAACCCTTCACTGGGGTGGTCTACCGCGGAGTATGTCGTAACCCAAAGTCTTAGGTACCCATTTAAAAAACCCTTTAACTTTGGTGAGAAACTATCCTCACCACGTGAAGGCAGCAAGAGGCACTCACTCGGCAAAGGCTAGTTGAGACGCTTGGGCGTGTGGGAGCATTTCTAGAGGTGCAAGGGAGGGGTGACCATTCACAACCGAAACCCGATCACACCGGGGTTTGTGGAAAGGAGACATTGATAGTAGAATAACATCAAGCATATCGATATTTTACCGTGTATGGAAAGAAAGAGGAACCTGTAGTTGACTCGCCCTAATTCAGTTTCAAGAACGAAACCGATTAAACTCTACACAGTTCAAAATATTTAGTTGCATTTTCGCTTTGGTCGAAAATGAGAATACAACCACGAAATACTAGCATCCGACCCATCCATCATTGTTGCGTGAAAATTTGAGTNATTCGCACGGTCGAACGCCATTTTCTAAAAGAACATCAATAATCCATTATTCGAGTGATCGATAGATCACCCGCCTCGAAAACATGACAAGGATAGCGCATGTGGTCGTGCGGATTCCATCACACCAGCGGAGATCATTCAAAGCAAAAATTGTTGCATAACGCATACAGTAATCAGCTGGTCAAACCAAACCAAAGAACATGCCCAACATACTAAATTATGCCTGTGATTTTGTACGACCATTTGGCTGTACTTAAGATAGTTTGATTATAGGAATGCAAACAATTCGACTTTAACAGAGCTCGTTGGAATTGGGCTAATCTGTCGATTTCACGGGCGGGACAGAGGAAGAGTAGGAAAATCCATGATTGCCTCATGTCTGTGTGTTTGGGTGTCAGTCTAGTTGGCTTGCGTTTTGCAGCTGCTCAATTTTCCCCGTGCACGCATACACATCGTAGGCATTGCGGATTTCAAACTTGTCATCGAGACAGGAAGTGCTAAAAAATGATGGGCGAATTCCTCACAAAGGTAACTGTTTGATAACAGACTGAGGAAGAGGGGGGGTCGAGTGAGGAGGGCGGTGCGGAATGTGAGTGGGTCTGAAACGCGGCTCACCTGGTTTGTGTTTGACGTTGGCGAATGAATTGCACTTGCTCTTGATCGGTCCCAATTGGACTTTCTCATTCACAATAGCAACCTGATCGATGCACGAACGCGTGGATNTATAGGGGTGGAATGGGTAAAACAACAATATAAAAATAAGTTTTGTCCGGAATGTGACGGGACCGTGCAAATGTGTAGAAGGCTGATGTGAGAGTGAAATGACTCATTTGACATGGCATCATGACTAGTGGGAAGAGGATCTGGGTTTACAAACCGAGAGGGGAGCAGAACACAGCGAACTGCAAAAACCGCACAACTGTTTGGTATAATGTGTCCCAAATGGTTAAATGGGACGTTTGGAAAACTGATCACAAAATCCTAACTGACGGTCAACCGCTGATCGGCTAAATTTCGAACGAGTGAGTAAATTCATTCATTTTTACGTAAACCTATATGCTGGTTGAACATCAGCTATCAACTAATTATATTTATCATAAATAATTGCGCAGGATTGCAATTCATATGAATTGCAAAGTGCAGTAAGTTCAATTTTCAAATCTGCTAACATTCAAATTGATATTTTGTTTTATACATCCTTTCGAGAAGTCAACCGTCGTCCGTCTGTTCTTGTTTTTCCCCTTTATTCACAACTGTGATGATATAGCTATACAAATCTTCACAATGGGTCTCACTTCGGCTTCGTCACCATGCAGTCTGCGCGATGGAATGAAAACTGACGAAGTGTTTTTGCTCAAACAGAGCTACGTATCAACTTGTCATTACATAATTTGGATGGTGGGATAAAATGCCTCAGTGTTGCTCAACATCTGTGGTAATTTCACACTTGCGCATATGGACTTGAATGGTGTGTTGCACAGTCTGCCTGAAAACACACACACACACACACACCCAAGTTGAGCGAGCCAATCAGCTGATACGAAGCGTTCTGCACTCGGTCGCGTGACTGACAGGCCGAAGCGAGCAGAATAATGTGCAATCCCAGCCCAATAGTGCATGCACGGAGGCAAAAATCCATTCTGACGGTAATGCTACTGCGCAGGTTCTCCCCGGGGAAAAAAACGGAGACCGAGTATTTGTGAATCCGTCACCTATGATCGTCACTCACTCCAACGAAAGTTTAAACAGCGAATGAAAACATGACATCCAATGGATTTGACCGGTTATCTGATATACTGGACCTCGATAAGAATACGCTTCCTCTTAGGAGGTCTTCAGGATGTAATCGCATAACCATAAGAATATGTGCAAGTGGAGGTTACCATCGGGGTAAAACAATCGTGTCTATTATACATTTACCCGATAGGTCGACTGATTCTGACACACTGTAAAACACTTTTCACATGAGATTTAACTTCAAATGACAGAATAAAACGGGATATTAACGAGTGAAGTAACCGAGCCGTGTGTAGTGGGTTGAGAAAGCAAGTAAGTGGATCTCATCCAGTTCGCATACTCACATTTCCACCACCGGGTTTGTGATGCACATTTTTCAGGGAATTAATCTTTGAGGTGATCACTCTTGGGGCACCTGTGGGGTAGAGATGAACAGAAACGATGGTGACTCAAACGATGAGGGTAGTTGAATAACCAATAGAAACTATTCCAACAAACAATCCAATGCCATTCGGTGTATTCTACACAAAGACGGTGGTGTTCTGCACCAAAGAACCTTCGTCACCATGGTTCAACCAACCGCTTTCAAGTCTGTCATAGCAATAAACATGCGAACATTGAGCGAACAGGTCCCTCACTTTAGGGCTATCGAATCAGACTCGATCGTTTGATCAACGCTACCCAGTGCACCGGGTGTTATTCCCTCACCTGCATAAACACTCGTGTTTTTCCTAACCACACATGAATGTGATCGTACAACTGTTTTGGTGAAGCACATAGCACAGGGTGATGATTGTCTGATGGCACAACTGATGCCCGCAGTCCGCGCGAGATCTCGTTTGGCAGTTTCGGCCGTTTTTGTCTGGCTGTTAAAGTGGACACATCGATGTGCATGTTATGGAGCAATTTTTCATGCAGAATGTAAACGAGATACTAGCACAATGAGTAACGAACAACACACCCAATTGTGGATCAAACACCATATGCTGTGTTACTATGTGAACCAAAAAGTGAACGAAACTTTCCTCGCTATTAAAAGGCATGGAGTTGAGTTTACCACAAGTGGTCCAGAGTTGACCAACAACCCTACGGTACTCGATGTTAAGGTACGCTTTGATAGAAAACATCTCACGCAGGTGGGCCAGCTGGGGTAAAAAAACAATTTCCCTAATGGAAGACACGGGCATGCCAGTATCCAGATTAACGTGCGAGCATCCTTTATTGAGGGCTGAACAAATACACTGCCTGATCCTACTGAGACACACCAAGCCCCACGCTTCAAAGTTCGAACCCAGCTATTGAATTTTAATGGGAAGCAGCTTAGCTGTTGCTCGCTAGTCCAAATCCCCGAACTTCGGTTACTGGTTCCCGACACCAAACAGTAGATCTTCATTACCATGGGTTTCATTCACTCTCTTTCTCTCTTTCGCTCTTTCTACTGTTCGTCATATCACAATGTTCAAAGAAGAAAAATCAAGAAAAACGACTACCTCGTTGACCATCACATCAAAAGAACTGCCTGAACAAGATGGTCCAGTTTGTTGCATACCAAGAAGACCTACAGGTGTGTGTGTGTGTGTGTGTGTGCAACATATGGCGTAGTCTACAGTGTATTTGAGCATGGAGTAGCCAAACAAATCAAAGACTGCAACACCAACAATTATTATCCCATCGGGCATGTAAGTGTTTAAACACCAAGAAGCCTCATGTGTCTCTCTGCTTGATCAGGCACAGCTTGTACAACAATCCCAGTGATGCAATTGCCAAAGCGTTGACGAGTGCGATGTGAACACCACAGACAGGGTGAGAATGACGAGCAACCAAAACGAACTATGTGTATGTTGAAACACGTGTGAATCATGTGGACAAGATGACGGTATTCAAACTACAGGCAAATGATCGTGGGATGAAAAACAATTCCGGAGACTCACCACTGCTGGAGAAAACCTGTGATAGAGAAAAAGAGAGAGGGCATGGGATTACAGGATGTAAATGAAGTAATTCACAACAGAAATCCCGAAGCGGTCAAATCAACTGTACTGACTGACGCCAGTAACCACTGTTTGAAACTGCTCTGTACCATGAACGCGCTGAGGTTGGAGTGGTATTTAGCGGAATTCTAGTTGTATGCTCTAACTTAAACCAGACGGGCAAGCTAGGCTGGAAGAACTTCGGAGCCGAGAACCATCCGTGTATTGTTGTCAGGGGAACAGTGACTGAGTAAATACAACTGATGTCTAAAAACCTCTAGTCTTCATCGGGTGGATACAAGCGGGCATCTCAATCTGAAATCGGGACTCAATCAGCAACACAGAGCGCGTGTGCAAGCGGGTATATGTCAAATGGAAGTCATAATTCCAACTTAGAAAATGTTGAACGCTAAATATGGTCATACAGACACTATTCCGATGGACGAACGTGGTTCAATAGAGCCAAGAACCGATTGATCGGGATCCAGGACAAGGGAGATCCAAGTTGCATGTGCAAGCAGCACTATTCGGTCTATAACTCGTAAACTGGAGTCGAAGTGAGAGAGAGAGAGTTAGTGAAAAGTTATGATCTATCAGACGCCTTCCGATTTCGGTCGACCGTAGGACTAAGCAATTTCTGTTCCTAGAGAATTGTGTGGATTTTGATTGTTCCACTTCTGAAATCTCTTATTACAGACTAATTTCACTCAATCAGTTCGGATAAGTGCACTGTTCAGACAATGCATAGCCTCGTTAATTCTTCTTCGCACTTTTCAGAATCATAAATTTCTGGATTGTTTTACCTCTGACATGTGCGCCTTCAACATCAGCAGCCCATCCTGATTCGGCACATTCGACCGATCGATGTATCAGGTAACCTTTTCATTCGCCTCTCCCATTAAACACCAATATGTGAATGCTATCTGCCACGAGGACCTACTGTAATGGAAATGCAGACCAGAAGCCCAAGTCCTGGGGCATGAAATGATGAACCACAATCATATGAGGTTTCAATACGAGCGACAGCAGAGCAGTCACCAATCGAGGTTCGTTAGTGTTGATAGAATTCGAAATGTAAATCCTGAGGCACGAGAAAAGGTCGAAGATAGCTTGAATCGTCTCATCAAGAATGGAGGACTTCACGAATATACTATGCCAAGTAGTTGTTTATTGTCTATAGTACCAAACTGTGGCTTTCCTTCTTTTTAGCACACCGCGAAGCAAAACGCGGAAGTCACCATGGAGGATGAGGACAGGTGATTGGGAGCAGTAAGCTAATTTGACATACCTCGTGCAATGGTTGACAGGTAGGAAGCGATCCGCTCGATCTTCAATCTATCTAATCCCCCAGTGACCTCGTTGAATGAAAGCAGAGCTGAATCCAGACTAAGCAACCCAAATCAGATCAACGAGAAACTGACAAACAGTCACAAAACATTTTGTTTTGTTTCAAACCATTAAACCCCAACATGATGCATCAAAGGATTTTGGTGTTTTATTGATCTAGCTAATTGTGATAACGTGCTTAATTTACCCAGTCGATGGTCATACATTCGGAATAAGATTCTTTGCTTCACTGCACTCGTTCTCCTGCTAAGTAAATTCTGCCTAATAACGTCAAAAATAGATATTTTACGATCAGATTTTCTAATTATGTAGTTATATTAAAAGTATGAAAAGTTCGGTAGCCTCGGTGGGATGATGTAGATGTCTAGGGTATTAAAAACGAAGAATCTGGATGAAACAGAATCACCTGCAGTCCTATCGCAACACAGCAACAAGTTGTGTTTGTCTCACCACACTATCCAGCGAGGCAGAAAAGTATCCTAAAGATGACACCTCATTCATTGCAACACAACCAAAATTGACATTTCTTCATGATTCGATTGATAAGGCAACTGACGATAGATAACCAGTCAAATTGGGATATCCAACTGGGATGGTCAAATAAAAACAGTCTATCTAACACGCTCCAATTGCGAGTTTTTCACCCAACTTGTGGGTAGATCACTCTTTAGAAGACAATCTGCCATCTTGTTGATGCACTGAGTCACTAAAAATGGGTTTGTTGCGATCCATTCCACACACACACACACACACACACGCACACACACGCGCACACACACACACACACACACACACGAGTCCTCGTCCTCTGGTAGCAGCTGCGTTTTCTCAATCACTAATGCTCGTGAGTCACAACAACGTGTGTTTCAACATTGAAACCAAACAAATTGGTCGAACTCTAGCAGGGAGGACTATCTGAATTTAGTTGAGAATAGACCGGAAAAATAGACAAACAGTCAATCGACTGTGGACCAACAAGCACTACGTTCTTCCACGCTCCTTGCAATTGAACCACTTCAAAGAAAACACTTATCACCGAAGTGAGCTGGTTTCATCCACCTCTTATGTGATAGTACAAGGTGACGACCGCTCAGTTCAAACAAACTTGAATCATTTATAATTTGGATGTGACAATCGTGTATCCAAGTATGTGTATGTGTGTGTGAAGGGGCACTACCAGTAACTCTTTTATCTTCCACTGGTATAAGTACGACGGGGGAAAATGAATTACCAACTAAGTGATATTCAGTATGTGTGCACCGGATTGTGGAAGGATCGGAGTTGTCGATTGAATCGTCCCTCGAGTGGACAACATCAATGTTTGTTTAATATGAATCATCTCGATTGATAACAAACATCTGTACTCCCTCTCTCTCTCTCTCACACACACACACACACACGGTCCGATCTGGTTATGCACTGGACTCCGCTTGTGCGGCGGTAGTGGAATTCTCTTGAACCGAGTACATCAGGAATCTAATTTATTAGCAAAAGGAACAACCACAACGTACCACAACGCAGGATCTGATAATTTAGAAAAATTGCAGAGATTAGACGACGATCCGCGTCTGTTGCAAATAAACAAACGCACAAAACTGTATGCTGGACCCCCTAGCAAGAAAAAACAATCGTATCCCGGGTATTTGTGGTCCAAATACTTGTTTATTCGCGCTCATTTGCACGTAGCTCAACCCCTTACTGTCTCGAATGAGATGAGTGTATACTTGGAATGTGTGTGTGTGTGTGTGTGTTTATACAAGGCGAGCGGGTCAATGGTGCGGATAAGTGGGCACCGTGCGGTGAGGTGTTTGCGCTGCGGTTTGAGCGCGAAATTGCTCGAGTGAGTTCATGGAACGGGAGGAGCGACCAAAAGGAAAAACACAGGCAGACCAGGGGAGGAGAGGCAAGTCAGACAAAATGAGGGAGAGGAAAACAACCTTTTGGTTGTTAATTTTTTTGTAATTTTATCTACACACATCACATTTGTGCAATCCCTTGTTTCGGAATGTACACAAAGAGATTGGAGGGAGGGGGTGGGGAATAAACGTACAATTTCCGTAACAGAATAGTAATAGGGGAAAACTCACGCTGGATGTGTCCGATTCTGTGTCCGCGAATCGATGCGGATCTGTGACGTGCGGGAGAAGACAAGGTGGAGAAAAGACATGATGATATTAGGAGAGCAGAAACAGAGAAGCAATGACAAAACGGTTAAAGGGGATTGTAAGAAAAACCTTTTTTGTTGTTAAAAACGAACCAAGAGGGTGAGTGAAGTAGCAGTTCAGTCGCATGTTAGCACGTTTGTTAAATCAGCCTACCTCTGTTCGATAAGTTTCGTTTTGACGAACTGGCACGGCCTGGAAGTGAAACCGTCTCTCAGAGAGTGAGAACAAAATAAAGCACTGTGGAATCGAGGGGCGCAGTCTAATGTCTAATTAAAGCACTGACAAGTGAACAGCAGATGAAAATCAGTAACTAATCTACGAATGATTAGGGGTTACCGACAGAGAAAACTGTATCCATCAATGCACCAATGCGAACTATAACCCTCCCCCTGTGAGCAATGTTCCCGAATGACTTCTTCAGTTAATATAAAGGTAAAAAATGTGGCAACAACGAATTAGCAGTTCAAAAAGGGAACGAATTTAGGGGAACATATATCGCAACCAACCAACATCAGTGGATGAAATCTAAGGCAGTAACGAAGTTTTCCCTATGGATTCCGGCAAGGAGTAGGGAGCAAAGACATAGTCGATGGCCGTTTGTGTGAAACACCAAAAGTGGCGAACGAACCAGTTTACACATATAACCTTGTTCATCTAGGTGTTGGAAGAACTCCACAGCAGAACTGACTTTCGTCTGCACAGTTCGGTGAAAACATTTTTCTTATAGTTTTTTGATGAGATTGACAGTACTGCATTCTAAACTTCGGATCGCATCCACTTGCCCCTATCGTCAGGTCATTGGTTTTCTTCCCCCTATTACTTTGGAATGACCACTAATCCAAGTTTGTCTCACTTCGAACCACTCTTCGGATATTTCATTACCACTCCGAAGTCCAAGCAGTCAGTCATTCTCAATAAGTATCTGATTTCGGATCTCTTAGATTTCAGCCCTTTTAAAGAAGTATGAACAAAGTGAATCTACGGTGAATACAATGTCTTCGTATCATGAGGTTTGTCCCTTCTTTGCTACTAATCGCTACTAATTTTTGTAACAAAAAACGGGATTTCACTAGTCAAAACAACACACAAGGAACGTAAAATAGAATGGAGAAATGCCAGTAAAATTATGCTTTGCATTAAAGTGAATGACAGGATTGTGAATGAAGTGGTATAAAGGTTTCAGATACTCACGTTCTGAAGTCGCTCGGTCTCCTCGATTCGTGGCTGACCGAACCCCGGCACGAGATCGACCGGAGTACTGGCGTGTGTAATTCTCGTTATGTGTGGCCAGATCCATGTGCCCCAAGGATGGTCGGCTGGAGCCGGAGAGTGGGTTTTCGACATGTGGTGGTGCGGATAGAGGAGATATGGGAGTACTAATCGGGTAATGAGAGCTGGAGGCCGATGACGGTGCTCTCCCGGATGACGGCGGTGCTGGGGATAGGGTGGGGGCATGCCCATTGGAATGAGACAAGTCGAAGGATGGGGAGGAAGGCATTGGACGAGGCAGATTGGACAGTCGCGGGATTCCGGATGGTCGAATTCGGGGAATGGCTGACGGTTGTTGGATTTTAGAGCCATTCATGGATGATGCAGGTGGAGCGGTGGATTCATTTGGGGCTTGTGAATGAACATTTGTTGAGTGGGATTGCGTGCCGAACGATGGTGCCACCGATGGCGTTGGTTGTGCATTCAACGGAGGATGACCAATGCCATTTGTGTTGGTGGTGGTGGTGTTAGCGTTGGGTTGTACAGGTGCAACTTGAGATGATTGCTGAAACTTCTCTGGGCTAGTGGGTGGCTGCATCGGAGGCGCTATTGGTGTTGGAACAACTCCATCTGTGGACGGCGATCGCAGAACACCGGAAGGAATCTGCGACTGTGCGGACGGTTGTCCAGGTAAATTATGCCCTTGCTGAGAGTAACGCAGTTCCAATGGAGAAGCTACATCCATTTGGGCGTACACCTAAGTTGGAGGTCAGGGAATAAACGACGGACTAGAGATGAGAATATTTTAAAAACCGGTTGGTCATAACACTACCAAAGATAATCCCAAGTACAATAACAGTATTCTTATTTCTCTAGCTGTGCGATAGTTACCAAAAGCATCTCACGTGTGTCGTGACGGTGTGAATAATTAACGTCGTTGAATATGCAGTCGAGACTCGGGCACATGTGAAATGGCCTAAGAATGCATCCGCAAGAATCAATCAGTTGCATATGAAATCAAATGAGAACAAGTATGTGGTTCCATTTACACCTGACCTTTTTCAATCTGATACGCAACAACAAAAACAAGGTAGAACGAAAAACTCCGGAGGGAACTTACGGTCAATTAGGGACTATCAGGGAAAGAGGAGAAGCATCGCTGGCGGAATACGAATGCAAACTCTGTGGACGATGGGCTAGTGACATTTACACTGATTAGTCTCAGAATCAAGCATTTATAAACAATTTCTATCTTCTTGTAGGTAACGCATTCAGCCGGATTGAGTTATGAGTGCAAAACCAACAAGAAAGTAAGACGAAAATCACTTGATTCTAATTAGCACTCAGAGGTGAAACTTTCATATACCATCGCGGCAGTAAATTGGTTACACAACGGTAAGCCAGCTGATTGACTGTATGGCCTCCGAGATCTTCAGCACGGTTCGGGATGGGTGAGTGTACTGTTTAGTGACTGGTCATCTTTGCTTTGCACTGTCTCAACTGGGGAAGCCTCAACCATTTCTTCCACGTGGCATAGGTGTTTTTCCAACACAATGAGAAGTGGAGAAGTCAATATCCGGGGCTATAACCCGAGTAAGTAAATCAACGGTGGTTCAGCTAGGCAAGATCGTAAACCGACTAAGTAGCGGTGTACAAACTACACCCAGACTTTCCTAATCTCGGTAACGGTCACTGGGTTGATTGGGTACCTCTGATATTTGACCCGTTTTAAAAACGCGTAAGGTCCGATGAACTGAACATCGGCATCCAGTAGATAACAAACTGTGAGCTACACCTGCTCCTTTGTATATCTGATACTCCAGTCAAAGACTTCTAGCAAGTTGAATGCTTTAGTCAGCACGAGCGAGCGGTATTATATCCTCAACTTTTGGGTATTCCATATATTGTTGAACTTCTGCTATTTGTGTGTGATTGGCCACATGTTAAAAAGTAAATATGGATTCTAAAATCGGAGAATACAATTGCGTCATGCAAATTGCTTAAACATGTACATAGAGTATAGGCTGGCCGGTATTTTGGGGTGTGATGTTAAATAACAATTCGTCCCCGAAATTGAAAAAAAAAACGAACCAAACAGTGAGGCTGTGCTGAAATCAGCAACTAACTTGCGTCAAAGCAATTTAAATTACGATGAAAGAAGCGTTACCGTAATCACATCATAAATGTTTAAATCTTAATTGTTTATGCTAAGTCCGCATGACTCAACCAATCCATTGTTGAACATAGAAGGAATTAAAACCCAAGAGACAGTTGGCTGAATCACACACAGTGCCTCAATCCCCGAGATTAGCTATTATCGATTGAAGATTAGGCAACAACAGACGGTATCAACTCATAAAAAGACCGGCGACGGGAATCAAATACCCCCTCTGGGTAGTGCTGTCAGCGGCTTCCCGGTTTGACAGACAGCGGTGGCTAGACATCGCTTCCGTTTTCCGCCTCCCCGCCCCCCC